AGGGTGTATTTCCTTTGAGAAATGAAGATACCTCTTTCTAAGCGGGCAACTTCAATTCCAAGGAAATACTTCAGGGGACCTAAATCTTTCACTTCAAATTTAGATGCAAGGAATTGTTTCAATTTTTGTATTTTTGAACTCCAATTTCCTGTAATGATGATATCATCCACATAAGCTATCAATACAGCAACCTGTTCCTGACATCTCTTCACAAAGAGTGTGTGATCAGACTAACATTGTTTGAAGCCTACCTGCTGAATTTCCATGTGAAACTTACTGAACCAAGCTCTGGGAGATTGTTTTAAACCATAAAGAGAATTTCTTAGGTTGCACACCTTATTTTCACTTCCTTTGGCACAGAATCCAGGGGGTTGAACCATGTATACTTCCTCCTCTTGGTCACCATTTAAAAAATCATTCTTTATGTCCAGTTGATGCAATTCCCAGTCAAGGTTAGCAGCTAATGATAGGAGGACCCTAATTGAGTTTATCTTAGCTACTGGAGCAAAAGTCTCATCATAGTCAACCCTGTACACTTGAGAGTACCCTTTGGCTACTAATCTTGCTTTGTACCTTTCAAYTGTCCCRYYTRCCTTGTGTTTAACTGTAAACACCCACTTACACCCCACTGGGTCTTTCCCCCTTGGAAGATCCACCAATTCCCAAGTTTGATTTTTATGAAGGGCATTAATCTCCTCCTTCATAGCATCTGTCCATTCAGGGCATTTTAAGGCTTCTACAACATTTATGGGAACAGGAATGCAATCAATTGCAGATAAAAAGGCTCGGTATGAGGGGGAAATGTGATCATAGGAGACATACTGGGTAATGGGGTGTTTGGTAGTGCATGACCTAACTCCCTTTCTTTGAGCAATAGGAATGTCAAGGTCATCCACAGTAGGAGTAGGAGTATCAGTAGGTGCAATAGGGTTTGGGCTTACCTCCTGGGAGTCTAACAGTGTTGGTTGCTCAATATTTGGCTGCTCCACATCTCTATCACATTGCTGATCTCTACGGTGTGTACATTGGAAGACACGAAAGGGAGCAAGGTCCAGAATAGGAGGAAGAGAGACTTGGTGGACCTGAACTTGCTTTTCCTCTTCCACACTACTACACTCCCCCTGAGGAGAAGCAGGGAAGAACGGTTCAGACTCAAAGAAGGACACATCCATAGACACAAAAAACTTATGACTAGCGGGATCAAAGCACCGATACCCTTTTTGAGAGGAGGGATACCCCAGAAAGATACAAGGAATGGACCGAGGGTCTAACTTACCTCGAGCCGGAGACAAATCATGGACAAAGGCACGGCAACCAAAAACTCTCATGGGAATGGAAAATAAAGGGGACTGAGGGAACAACAACTGATGAGGGGCCATGTAGTTCAGCACTCTGGAGGGCATGCGATTGATGACATAAGCAGCTGCAAGTATAGCATCCATCCAAAACCTTTTTGGAACATTCATGTGTAACATCATCCCACGAGCTACCTCAAGGAGGTGTCTGTTTTTTCTTCTGCAACACCATTTGGTTGTGGTGTTCTTACGCATGAGCTCCTATGAATAGATCCGTGGGAGGCAAAGAACTCATTGAGCTCGCCATGGAAATATTCTTTTGCATTGTCTGATTGGAAGATCTATATTTCAACATGGAATTGCGTAAATACCATCCTCTCTAAGCCTTTCACAATCTTTGGAACTTCGTCTCTACTACGCTTAGGGAATACCCATGTATAGCGAGAGAAGTCATTGATCAATGTGATAAAGTACTTATATCCACCTTTAGAGATTATAGTAGTAGGCCCCCATACATCAGAATACACAACATGAAAATGAACACTTGATCTTTTATTATTTGAGTGAAAAATTGTTCTACATTGTTTGCTCAGCTGACACGTTTGACACTGGAACTCTGACACTGAACATGACTTAMATAAWACCGGAAACAMAGACTTTACTATTTCAAAAGAAACATGACCTAACCGACTATGCCACAAAAAAATTTGACTCTTATTTGATTGACTATATGACTCTGAGGATGACACCGAGAGACCAACTTTGTTGTCGAGAATGTAGAGACCATCCACTAGGCTCCCTCTACCAATCGTCCTCCCAGAAGTTAGATCTTGAAAAACACATGAACCAGGAAAAAAGGTTACACTACAGTTTAAAGAGTTTGTGACACTACTGATTGAAGGCAAATTTATAGGAAGTTGAGGGACATGCAATACACAATTCAGGTTAAGGCCATGGGGAAGAGATATTGATCCTTGGCCTGCAATGGAGCAAAATGATCCATCTGCAAGCTTCACTTTATCCCTTCCTGACAAAAGGCTATAAGTCTGAAACAAGTTCGACTTACCGGTCATGTGGTTAAAGGCCCTTGAGTCAATGATCCAAGGGGAACCAGTGGTAGTGGTGACATGGAATGCAGAAGCCGCATTACCTGATGTAGATGCAAATGAAGTAGGAGTACCAGTGACTGAACTATCCATCTGTCACAAAGCCCTACCATATGACTCCAAGTGGTCTCTGAAGGAATTCGTGATATCTTCCTTGGGGTCAGAATTAGTAAGGTGGTCCCGGGTAGTACCAGAAACCTGAGTATCTTGGGTTGCCACGTGTTGCATTATGTGTTGTGTTCTTCTTCTTCTGACCTTGCCATTTACCCTGTTCTTGGTTCTTCACTACCCACTTGGGTTTTCCGTGAATGTCCCAACATGTGTCATGTGTATGTTGTGAGTGCCGATAGTGGGTACAAAACAACTTGTCTTTATCATCAGCCTTCTTGGTGTCACTTTTCTTCCCCATGTTGTTATTACTCATTGCAGCCAATGCAACTTGTTGCTCCCCCTCAGTTGTAACCATCACACTCCGCCTACTTTCTTCAGATTGAACAAGGGCATATACCTCGTGAACCAACGACAACTCTTTACTTCCTAAGATCTGAACTCTCAAGGGTTCATAGACAGGGTTCAGTCCCAACAAGAAGGCAAACACACGCTGCTAAGAAACCAGCTTCCCGTAGGCCTTAGTATCATCATCATGTTTCCACTCTATAGCCTGATAATGATCCAATTCTTTCCATACAGAAGTAAGGGCTGAATAGTAAGTAGACAAGCTACGATTTCCCTGTTTACAGGTTGAGGATTCAGCTTGCAACTGGTAAACCTTGGCATAATGCCTTTGCTCATAATAGGTGGTTTTGGCCTGTTCCCAAATCTCACTAGCGATGTCTGCCCTCATAAAGTTCTTCTCCACATCAGGTTCCATGGCTGCAAGGAGCCAAGACATCACCATACTGTTTTCTTGGTCCCACCTATCATGTTCAGCTGTCTCACTCTTGGGTTCTTTCACCCTTCCATTTATGTAACCAGCTTTTCCCCTTGCTGTTACATAAAGTTTTACACTTTTAGCCCACTCCAAGTAGTTTAGACCATTTAAAGGGGTAATGGGCATGGGAAACATCATGTTTTCACTACCCATACCAGTTGTGCTGCGGGTTGGTGTAATCCCCGATGAAGTTGAATCACAGTTTCATTGAGGAAAAAGGAAGGAAGGGGAGGAGAACTGACCGAGAACTCTTTAGGTTGGTTTGGGGACTCATTGATAGGGTAGGTGACTCTAGTAGCAGGGTACAGGGACTAGGAGGCAGAAATAACTTATTCTTACCCCCATGTCAAACCTAAAGATAATTTCTTGGAATGTTAGGGGGCTAAACTCGGGAAGGAAGAGAATGCTCATTTGCTCTTTTTTGAATAAATGGCAGCCAGATGTGCTGTGTTTACAGGAATCAAAACTTCAGCAGGTGGATGCTTTCTTAGTAAGAAACATTTGGGGTCAAAGGCGTTGTGATTGGTTTGCTCTTCTAGCTATAGGCACGACAGGTGGAATTCTGGTGATTTGGAACAGTGACACCATAGAAGTAACTGACGACCGGATCAGGGAATTTTCAGTCTCTTTGAAATTTAAGATGTTAATTGGGGGCTTCTTGGGATTGTTGACCTCAGTTTATGGGCCTATTGATGCTGGTAACAGACCCAGATTTTGGAATGAGCTAAATGCATTCAGAGAGGGAGACGACTCCACCCCTTGGTGCATAGGAGGGGATATTAGTACCATCAGATTTTCCTCGGAGAAAAATGGACAGGCTAGAAGAGACAGAGGTATGAGAGGCTTTGCAAGTTTTGTACAGTGGTGGGGATTGATGGACTTGCCTTTGGCTGGTGCTAATTGTACTTGGACAAATAACCAGGCTGCTCCTTCCTTATTAAAGTTGGATCGCTTCCTTATCTCCCCTGACTGGGAAGACAGCTTCCCCAATCTAATCCATTTCAGACCATACCCCCTTCTCCTAGACAGTGGAGGGATGCCTCCTCCATGGGCCCTTTTAGGTTCGAGCACATGTGGTTAAAAGAGATGGTTTCATGAACTTGATTCAGGGATGGTGGGTAAACATGAATTTCATGGGTTCATCTAGCCATGTTTTCCATCTAAAACTGAAGGAAGTGAAACAAAAAATTGAAGTTTGGAATAAAGAAGTTTTTAAAGGAGTTGAGTCCAAAAAGCTAAGTATCTTTAGAAAATTGTTGACCTGGATTTGGAGGAGGAAAGAAGCCCTATGAGTGAAGAAAACAGGAAAAAAGGTCCCAAGCCAAGCTGATTTTGGATAAACTTTTAGTTCAGGAGGAGGTTACATGGAGGCAGCGGTCCCAGGACCTATGGATGAAAGAAGGTGACAACAACACTGGTTTTTTCCACAAAATGGTTAATGCTAGAAGGCACATAACAGTATTAAATATTTGAAAGTAAATGGGAAGTGTTGGAAAAGGACAACAGAATTAAAAATGCCGTAGTGGGTTACTATTCAGATCTGTATAAAGAAAGGTGGAAAAAAAGGCCAAGATTGGATGGTCTTGATATTAACAGAATTTATGAAGAAGATGCTGCTGATTTAGAGAAACCTTTCTCAGAGGAAGAAATCAGGGAGGCTATCTTTCAAATGGAGGGGGATAAAGCCCCAGGCCCAGATGGCTTTACTTTGGAGTTCTATAAACTGGGTTGGCAGTTCATCAAGCAGGACTTGCTGAAGGTCTTTGCAGAGTTCATCAAGGTGTCTCAACTCAACTTTTATCACCTTGGTTCCTAAGAAGGAAGGGGTCTTGGAGTTGAATGATTACAGCCATCAGTCTCTTAGGGTGTGTTTATAAAATACTATAAAAAGTTTTAGCTTCAAGAAGAGGGTGATAGGCAAAATCATCTCTCCCTCCCAAGGTGCTTTTGTAGAAGGGAGACAGATTCTTGATGGGGTCCTCATTGCTAATGAGTTGTTGACTCACGTAGAAGGGAAGGTAGAGAGGGGTTGATTCTCAAGTGAATATAGAAAAGTCTTTTGATCATGTTGGTTGGAATTTCCTGGACTATATGCTCTCCAGAATGAACTTCAGTTCCAAGTGGTGAAATTGGATCAAGGTCTGTGTTACCACTCCCACTTTCTTAGTCCTCCTCAATGGTGTTTCCTATGGAAGATTCAAAGCTCAAGGGGCTTAAGGCAAGGAGACCCTTTGCCTCCTTTCCTTTTTAATATAATAATGGAAGCCTTAAGTAAGCTCACCTGTAGGGAAACAGATAGTGGTCTCCTTCATGGGTTTAAAGTTGGTGAGAGAGGTGATCAGATCTCTTTACTTCAATTTGTTGATGACACCATCTTCTTCTATGACTGCTCTTCTGATCAGCTGGTTTCTTTGGGTTACATTCTTAGATGGTTTGAAGCAGTTTCAAGTCTCAAAATTAACCTATTTAAGAGTGAATTATTGAAGACAGAGGAGGGTCTTCCTGATCCCAGTATGACTTACCTTGGCCTTCCCTTGGGAGCCAAAAGCAATTCTAAGAAGATTTGGTATCCGGTTATTGACAGATTTGACAGAAAACTGTCAATGTGGAAATCTAAATACTTATCAAAAGGAGGTAAGCCCACTCTTCTTATGGGTTGGGTGGAGGGATAACTTCAAGTTTAATATAGTGAGCTGGAAATCAGTGTTCAAATCAAGGAGAACTGGTGGTTTAGGAATCAGAAATATTAAAACTGTTAATAAGGCTCTTCTTGGTAAATGGTGTTGGAGATTCAGCAAAGAGAGGAATAGCCTCTGGAGAAGAACCATTGCAGATAAGTATGGACTCACAAATCTGGGGTGGGACTTGGGTCCTAGCCTTCTCCCAAGGGGATGTGCCTTGTGGAGCAATGCTGTCTCTATCCTTCCTGACTTCTTGAAGTGGATTAAATGCAAAGTTGGCCAGGGTAATCACTTTAAGTTCTGGTCTGACAATTGGTGTGGGGACACTGCTTTAAATGAAAGGTTCTCCTCTCTCTTTGATATTGCACAGGATAAAGATGTTATGGTGGAAGACTGATTTGAATTGATGAATGGTGAGATTATTTGGGGCCCTACTTTCAGAAGAAATCTTAACGAGTGGGAAATTGGTCCACTAACAGATCTTTTAAGTCATTCATAGTATCAAGCCCAATCCACAGTCAGATGATGAAAGAATTTGGTCTTGGGAGGCTTCTGGCACTTTCTCCTCTCAGTCCTTCTACAAAAACATTGTGGCTGGTCAAGAAGGAGACTTCCCTTGGGCTATAATCTGGAAATCCCATGCTCCTTCAAAAGTTGCCTTCCTGGGAAATGGCTCTATCCTGCAATGAGGTTCCTAAATCCTCTAATCGCATTTTTATTCACTGCAACTTTTCTCAGCAGCTTTGGGAAATGGCTCTATCCTGCTTTGGGGTTTCTTCTTGCCCACCTGGTTCAGTCCTACAGCTTCTTCAGGGGTGAGGCAAGCTGCTTTGGAGGATTTTTCCAGATGCTATCCTTTGGGCCCTGTGGAAGGAAAGGAACATCCGGATTTTTGACAATATTTCCAATGACATAGCTTCAGTCGAGAACAAAGTTTTAGGTTCTCTATATTCCTGTTAAGTGTACAAACTACAAAGAGCTTTCATTGGTTTTCAACTTTTACCTTTTTTGCAAGCTGGATCTTTTTTATCTGATTTCTCAGACCTTTTTGTAAATTCTCAATGTACAGGTTCTCATTGTACATGGGCTGATGTAATTGGGTTTCTTTTGCAATTCAATACTTTACCTTCTTCTTCTTCTTCAAAAAAAAAAAAAGATTAATATACAATAGATTCTTTAGCACAAATATCTCCACCATATTGATTGCGTGTTATAATTTTCTCATTCTTCTGACATTTGTTCTGTTTTTCAAATTTAGGATCTACCTGGTTCAAGTGGCATTATGCAAGTAAGTGCAAACTTTTAGGTGTGACTTATTGTTAACAAAACTTTACCTTGTAGTTTCTAACTATATCATTTCTATTGCAGACAATGGGGAGGGATAAGAGGTTGGAGTACGCAGCATCATTCCAAAGTTGCTATTTCTTCCGACTTCTTTACTATGCTGGAACTCAGTACCCAATTATGGGTGCTCTCAGGTTTGATAGTTTACTTTTACTATTATTCTCTTCATTGACTAATATTTTGGTTTACTTTTATTTTTTTTATGCTCTTGATAAACTCTAGGTAAATTTTGAAAGAAACTTGTGTTAAAAACTTTGCAATTCTCACTTTCTTTTGATAAGTAAGAAGGATTTATGATAAAAGGAGGGAGATCTTCCCTCAAAATGTAGTTAAATAAGGTCTATAGATTATAGATTTAGTATACTGGTATTCCATTTTTTCAGTTTTTTGGATAATAAATAAAAAGAAAATTTTATTCAAAGAAAAAAAAGAAATTACAAAAAATAGGTGATAAGTTGTCACCCAAAATAAATACAAATTAAATATCACTACCCTCCAATCAATTTTGAAGTACAAATTTGAGCCCCTGCTCAGATTTCCCAACAATAAAAAGCCCACCATATGCCTCTTACAAACCTCCCACCATAACAAAAATCACACTCAGCATTCAAACTGAAATCCTTCCCCCAAATTACAGTTAAAACAAGAAAAACAATCTTCTTCAACACTTAATCAACATGAAAAGGGAATTTCTTTTCTAATTCCATGAACTTTTTTCTTGCAAATTCCTCCCCTCCCAAGAAAACCACCCCTAACAATTTGCTTACTTGGACATCCATTTCAACAATTGTTTCCGTGTCAACATTCTTCTCTATCTCCCTCACTCTATCCAAAGCCTGCTTGTTGTCTTCATTTGGATTTTTATCATCTTCTCCCCCATCAATGCTCTCTTCCTCCATCTCTTCCACTTCCATTCTGTTTCCTTCATTTTGAGCAACAGAGCTCATTTTCAATTTACTCTTATTAACCTTTCTCTGAACTTTGTTGATGGAGCTATTCTTCTTGTGGCGAAACTGCTTTTTATTTTTGTTCTTGACACCCCTATTCTTATACCCTCTATTTATTAGAGGGTCATGCCCCCAGAAGACCATCTTTCAGACGATGAAAGACCTTAGTGATATGAACTAAGTTCTCATTATGGTTTGTTCTGTATCTCCTTTGAATTGTCATCATTTCTAATCCCTTCATCTATTCATACCATCTTTTGCCATACTAAATCGACTCCTAGTTTGCCTGCAAACACCTCTGTAACATCTCTTAAGGAGTTCAACTCTAACTCTTCTCCCAAATCATTAACAAAGACTTGTTTCCTCTTTCTTCCCCTCATTTTTATCTGACCCAATCTTTTCCAACTCTGCAAGTCCAGCCTCAAAGTCAGGTACCAGTACCACAACAACCTCCATTAGGCAATCAACTTTTTCTAAATCAGCCTGATTTCGTTCCAAGCCAAACTCAACAATTTCTTAATCCTCCAACACCATTGAGGTTCTGTTGCTTGGAGATGTCTCAGCTAAGTTGTTTTGATCCAAGAAAGCGCTTGTGTCCCCAGCGAGCGAACAACTCTGATTCTTTTAAACGAGTTTCAAAGTCCTGTGTTGTTTATTGATCTAAAAGAAAGTCACATGTTGCTTTTAAACGAGCGAACAACATCTAAGCTTCCCTGAAATTGGAGATCCTTCCCTCCTTGAATAGAAAGGGAGTCATTTTATGAGTTATTTTTGTAGAAAGGGGCTCAGAAAAAATTAAACAAATGAAGGAAGCAAGAGCTTCCTGAAAGTTTTTCTGGTTAGGATGTTATTTTGTTTTGGTGAAAAATCAAGGGTGTACCGGGATTTTTACTATTGATTTGTATTCTCTGTCTGAGGAGTGGGTGGATGTATACTAGTGGGTGAGTTGTTTTTGTAGAAAGGGGTTCAAAAGGATTAAACAAGTGAGGGAAGCAAGAGCTTCCCAAAAAGGTTTTCTGGTTGGGATGTTATTTTGTTTTGGTGAAAAGTCAATGGTGTACCGGGGTTTTTATAGTTGATTTGTACTCTCTGTCTGAGGAGTAGGTGAATGTCTACTAATGGGATCATTTTATGAGTTGTTTTTTGTAGAAAGGAGTTCAAAAAGATTAAACAAATGAGGGAAGCAAGAGCTTCCCTAAAAGGTTTGCTGGTTGGGATGTTATCTTGTTTTGGTGAAAAGTCAAGGGTGTACAAGGAATTTTACAGTTGATTTGTATTATCTGTCTGAGGAGTGGGTGGATGTCTATTAATGGAATTAATCTGTTATTTTGTGTAATGTTTCTACTTTTATGGTTCTTTTTAATATTGTTGAGTGGAAAATGTCTATGCTTTAAGGTTATGGAATGAGATTTTAGTTTCTTGTATTTATTTTTGTGATGCCTTACCAATTTAGATTGTTTCTTATTTGTGTTTTATGAAATTTGTTTTTACCATGAAAAAAGGGGAGGGAACCAACTTTGACATGGCCTCCCTTGTTTCATAAATGGATTCTTGATTGGCTACCTTTTGTATCTTAAATGGAAAAAGACTAGAAAAGTTACCTGATCATGTGAATACCAGTACTTGATATCTGAGAAAATCATACCTTGATGGTAAGAATTTCTGAAATTCAACTAGAATAAAGTTGAACCTAAAGTTAATTGTATGGCATTACCAAAAAAAAAGTTAATTGTATGAACAGTAAATACTATTCATGAGTACTTTAGACAGGAGTGTCAATTGGACTGGATTTGGTCCAATCCGGTCCAGTCCAATGTGAGTCCATTACAAATGGACCTGGTCCAATCCAGTCCAATGAATATTTTGGACCATTTTGGACTGGTCCAGCGACTGTCCAATCTGTTCAAATTCCTGTTAATTTAGATTGGTTTCAACTCAAACCTGGTCCATTGACACCTATTTTTTTGTCTTCTATCAATGGACCAGATATTGGCTCAATCCAATATAAATTCATTATGGATGGACCAGGTCCAATCAATATGTCATATTGGCCCGTCCAGTCCATCCAAATTCAAAATGTCTTATTGGTCCGTCCAATCCATCCAAATGGATTTTGATTTGGATGGAATCCAACCCAAAACCGGTCCATTGACACCCCTAACTGTAGCTACAGCAGCAAAGAATAAAGGGAAGTATACCGACAGTTGACTTTTAGTTTGCAGCCTGTACTGATGTGTATTGGAGATCGCCAAAATCTACAGTGCGCTTGAATCAGTTGCAAGAAAATTTAGAAATATAGGACTTCTACTGTGTGCAAGGTCAAGACTAATATGACTACAGAATTTAGAAATCAGAACAAATGGGTTAACAAAAGCTTTCTTTATTAATTCCAGAAAACACACTAACAATTCAAATCCTGACCACATACTCCCTACTGAACCTATCTGTAAGACTATTTCCTACTTGTATTAGGACTGGAAATAAATGAAGGCCAATTAATCCCATTTTAAGGTCAAACTTGTACAACAAGTTATCACTATTGATTCCTGATTACAGTGAAATCTGGATAAAGTGTACAAAGTACCTCAACCAATCCTAATCAAATTAGGGCTCAAAATGAAATAGAAAATAGCAACTTAAATCCAATTGATAACCTATAGAACTATTAGCAACACTAAACAAGTTAAATAAACTAAAAGAAATTCTTCTTTTGAGAATGCCACCACTTTGTTTGATGACTTGAAACTCCATAACATCCTCCTATATGGCTCTTTCTCCAAAAATAAAAAATTATTAACACTCATCTTGACAAGTCTTGTAGGAACAATGGAGAACAATTTACACTGCTTCACATGGATTAATCGTGGACACTAGGGGTGCATCAACATATACCCTTAATAACAGTGACTATGCCCCTTAATCCATAACCTCTTTGATTTCTCTTCATGTCTTGGCATGAAGCATACTGGTAGCTTCAGAACTACAAACCATATATATTGAGAAAGTCTTGCATGTATCTAATAGTTCTCCTTGGTGGTGGCAAGAGCTGGGAAAAACAGTTTAACCAATTTTGTAGTGCGTTTTAAGGGGTCAATATTCATTTTCCCCACACCCATGGCAATGTGTCATGTGCAGGAAGCTCCTAAACAACCAAAGTTTTTCACTTTTTAAGTGCTTCCAAGTGGGAAATATAACATACCAACAGGGACTACTTTCTTTTAGTTTCTATTTTAGAAAATTCTAAAATCTAAATGGGGCTTTGGAATCCTTCATTTTTTATGATGATTAATTGTGTCATCCGTCATGTAAGACTTCTTTTCTCCTTTGTGTTTTCTGAATGATTTTGAATAGGAGTCTAGTGTGATGTTAATTCCATATTGATATCTTACTGAATTAGAAGTCTGATATTTCCAAATTATAATATATATTTTCCTATTTCTTTTTTCTTCTTTTTAAACTCCAGCATGTCCGTCATTACTGAAATTCCCAAGATTTGTGACTATAGCCACTTCATGATTTTAGGATGTCCTATCCATACCGATATGAACTCTATAAGCGGGTTGATGAACCTTCTGGGAAGGAAAAGTACGTCATTCTTGCCACATTTCCGGAAAAGCCAAATGTTGATGAAATTAATAACGCTTTCGAAGGAAAGCCAAGGTAATTCCTCTCATCTTTTCTAGTTATTATTAAAAGGCGATCTTTTTTCTCTACCTCCTGATTTTTGAAGCACATGTCTTGATACACTGTTTTTTTTACGAACATCCACAGAAACCAAGAAAAAAGAGCCTCAGGAATTTGGTGAGAGAACTTAATGTCCTTATTCCTTAATGTTAGAAGTGGTTTGCTGTGTGAACTGGTTTAACTTGTTTATTTCTGTTGTAGGGGTTTCTTGAGTGGCATTCTCTAAGTAAAAGGAGTAAAAGGGGGTATCATGCTTGTAATTATTACAATTCCCTCATGCAGATCTCTATGATAAAAGGGTATGGTAAAGGCAGGGGTTATGTCTGTGAAACAAGTTAGTCTCATATTTCAGTTGATTCATTTAGAGTTTATTTTCATTTTTGTTTTCAGGAATCTTGAATTGTGCACTGAAAACACATAAGAAGTGTGCACAATATATTTCACTAAAAGGTAGGTAAAGTTACCTCCTTTTTGTTTCCTCTTGAACATATTCTTGTGCAGGTGGTGCAGATATGTAAAAGAATTTTGTATCTAATTCAATGAAATGATAGTTTTACTGGCTAACGTTAACCTTGAAGTAAAAACTTCAGTATCTATACTGCATGAAAGGAAGAGATTTTTCTTTTTTCTTGGTAAAAGCTTGTTAGTTAATATGTTGTCAGACATTTCACACTGAAATAGGGAAAATCTGCAATATGTTAAATGAGAAAGACAAAGAAGAATAATTGTCATGATGTTTTATTATTCTTTCTTTCTTTCTTTCCTCTCTCTCTCTTTGCGAATAAATAAGTCATCTGGGTGCCTGTGGCAGCTCATTCTCTTAGATTGCTGGGTCTGCCAACTTGGCCCAATTGCTCTCTAGAATGTTTGTTACTTGGAGTGATTTATATTCTTGGCCTTGCATAGCAGAATTATCTTGTGGTGTACACTCCATACTTATTTTGGGTTGGTGACTACTAACTAGGTTTTGTACCCTTTTTCCTTCACTTAATTGAATAAGATTTCTCTTTTATCAATGATAAAAGAAAGAGAAAACATGATGTTGACAATGATATGATAATGGTGATCATAACAAAAATTAGAATAGTAAGATGATAAAAGGATTAGGTTGAGAAAATGGTGATTTGGGTAGATAAAGGATTAAGAAACCATGAAAATACCTCCAAATTCTACATGTTTTCTAATTTTGTACTTTAGTACTATTGTCAGCCTGTGAAAATTGAAATAGTTTTCCGCGGGTTTCGCAGAAATCTGGCTTGCAAATCAGACCTTCACAAAATTTCCAACTTCCCATTTCTGGTTCACACCATGTATTTCCAGAGCATTTGTATTTAAATTCGTATTTTTTAACTTGCATAAAACCTTTAGGTAGACAGATTTGAAGTCCAGTTAAATTCATTAATATTCAAATTCAAGTTGAATCTTATTCATCGGATTTAAATCAGATTTGGATATTGAATATCATTAATAAATTAAATTAAAATTACCAGAACATTATATTACCATCAATAAAATAAATTAAAATTAAACTTCATTTTTTATATCATCAGTAAAATGGCTTGAAATTTACTTCTATTACAACGCAACTGTTTTAGTAAACATACAAAATTCAAACCAACTTTATCGTTACATATTAATTTTGTGCAAATAAGCATAAGAATTCCATCAACTTCATTAATATTGGCTACTACCCTAAATTTAGAATTTTCTTTTCATTAGATCATATTTCATGGTGTACTTGTACTTGCTATTATCTTCAATTAATCGCATTCACTTCTTCTGATGCATGGATGTACCATAGATTTTGCATATAAATGTAAATGCTGACACTAAATATTAACTGATGGGATTGGGATAAAATCCAAGTTCAATACAACTGTTAGGCTCAGTTTAGAAGGAGTACAAATGCAAATATGTGGAGTACAAAATCTTATGTTTTGTATTATTTTATATGTATTTGCACCGTACATATTTGCATTTCTACTCTTTCGTTTTGGGCCTTAAAGGATCCAATTTAAATTGTGTCAATCAGATACAATTTGCAGCGCTCCTTAAGGGAGTGGGCCAAGTTCCTCTCTCTCTCTCTCTCTTGCCTTCATCTCTATATTACAACCATGTAACACAAACTAAACACAACAAAACATACCAATCAAAAAAGGAGTAAGGACGCATATATTAGAATTAGCCAACAATGCCAAGATCCTATCCTTTATCTCTGCTTCTCGCCTTTCATCTCTTGAAGCTAGCAATCTTCAGTTTAGCAGACAATCCTTACAGCAACGATCGCTTCTGTCACCCAATCTACTCTTTCATTTTCAAGACATGTGCTCTCACCGGTATAAGCCGACCACCATTTGTCGTCCTCCCTCCACCACAGTCAGCTTCTTCGTTTGGGTACTCATACAGTAGCCCAACTCCTCCGGCCACCGTTGTTTCCGCCTATCCCTTCCTCCCTTCTCCGTCACTCCCAGCAGTTGCTGCTGCCACCCCACCACCCCCAGCCTTCCCCTCTGTAATACCATCGTCGCCGGATCTTCCTACATTCCCGGTGCAACCAGCTCCATCACAACCACTGGTATACGTCTTTCCATATTTGCCACCGCCACCGCCACCACCACCACCACCAGTATATGTCTTTCCATATTTGCCACCCACACCACCACAACTACCTCAATACGTCTTCCCATATTCACCACCGCCACCACAGCAACCACCAGTATATGTCTTTCCATATTTGCCACCGACACCGCCACAGCCACCTCTATACGTCTACCCATATTCACCACCGCCACCACAACAACCACAAGTGTATGTCTTTCCATATTTACCACTGACACCACCTCCTCCTCCGCCAGTAGCAGAATTTCCTTACGTGTTCCCCACATTTCCACCACCCAGTGCAATTCCATCTCCTGCTGCCGGTGCAACTATCCCTGCCGTATTCCCTCCACCACCACCAACTCTTCCTTTCGTCTATCCATCTCCGCCTTCCTCACCACTGCCAGTGATACTCCCACCTTCACTGCCTACAGTTTATCCGCCGCCGCAGCCGGTAACTAACCCCTCTCCTTTACCATTTTACTATCCGTACATACCACCGCCACCACCATCTTTTCCGGCAATAACTACCCCGCCATCATATCCTTACATTTACCCATCTCCACCGGTTATGCCTGTCAACCCACCTGGTCTCCCTCAGCAACCACCAGTGTTTCCACAGCAACCACCAGCCTTTCCGCAACAACCACCAGTTTTGCCACAGCAACCACCGGTGTTTCCGCAACAACCACCAGTTTTGCCACAGCAACCACCGGTTATTCCGCAACAACCACCGACAATACCCCAGTTTATACCCCCTCCGGGCGTGGTGGTGCAGTACATATGGCCACCCCCACCACCAGTACAGGTTCCTTGAGGCCAGCTTTTGATGGGTACCCATAGAGTTTTAGCCATTAGCCAAATCAAGCAATCAGGCTGAAGGAGTAAATGCGTCGCATCTGAACCGTCTAACCGGAATTAAAATGTACAAGAAGAAAAGATTTCGCACTTTCACTCCTCCCTGAGCACCTGCAAGTTGCAACTGACGACCGGCCTTCACGGGTGGCCGAACAGTGGAATCTGATTTTACGTATCCAAGTTCCAAGTGTGAGTGAATGCACGGTACGGTCACATAATAAATGTATTTAATTAGAGAGATTGATTATGCTTTTATTAGTTTATCAGAGATTCAGAGTCTTGAGTCTGGAGAATCCATGCTCTGGATTAGAGAAATTGGCCTTTGTGGTTTTATCAAAAGAAAAAAGAGAAATTGGCATTTGTCATTGAAGTGGCTTGCTTCCAACAGTATTTAGATATATGGTAGACATGGCAAAGTATCAAGATTCAAATATTGGCGCATTAATCTATGATAAAAACTCTGTTTTTATGTCCTTTCAAAGCAAATTATAAGGGGGCAGAAAACAAAACGAACGTATTTTCTATAAAGGAGGGCGTAGAAAATAGCTAAAACATTTCAGTCTTAAAAAATTCGTCCATTCTCCACAAAAAACATACATACATAGCCTGAACTTTTATAATTTTTGTTTCAAGAATTGTTATTGTATGTACATTGGTCGATCGGTTCTTGGGACAATCGGATTCAACCCGATTTTGATATGTATGCTAATAATGCTTTGCTAAAAAATGCAATAAAAACCCTGTAAAAACCTAAAATGCAACGAAAATCCTACTAAAAACAATTAAAAACCGAGAATCTTTTTTAAGAATTGGTTTAGGTCCCGATCAGTTCGGGACAAAGCGGACCTGGTTCCAACCCGATAATATTCGGGAATCTTTTTCAAGAACCAGAACCGACCCATCAGGACAATTTCTGGAGCCAGAACCACTCGTCTGACCCGACCCATTGACAGCCCTAATTAAAATCTAGTACTGAAAAATTAGGTATAAATTTTACAGATAAGTACTCAATTTTAAATTCCAATGCAGACCTACAATAATTGAAAATGTCAGGCACCCCCCCTTTATACACCAATACCCGCCCATATATTAGCATCAATTGTGAGCTGGGACTTATCCCAACTGTAAGGTGGGGTTAGGAATTCTGACATTGGACTGAACCGTCATTCTCCCTAAATTTCATAGCCCTTATTAATCCATATTTCATACTCACTTTTCTTATCCACACTTTACCTGCGGTGAATTGCAGCCATACATCTCTCAATTCATGATAATAAAGATGTATGGAGTGCGTAAAGAACAATGAGCAGGAAATCCCGTTTGCTGGGGTTGATAGTTTTATTTATTTATTTATTTTATTTGCTGCAAAATGTGGAAAATGCAAGGCGAGCATGGCTGAAATTATAGCGGTCTTGGAGGGATTAATTGCTTATTGCAAAATCCTTGAGACGGATTGTGTTCAGCTTATTAATGGCATAATTGGCTGAAGGACTCTTTCTGCTTATAATTAGTTAAAGATATGTTGCATGTACTTGGGGATATGAACGTCAGGTTTTCTTTCTGCTTGAGAAGCCTAGTGTGGTTGTTGGTGGAACTATCCACCTACTTGGCTGGAAAATTCTTTTAATCTTCGACTGTGGATATAGGTCGGTTTAGTTTCATTGTCATTTATTAGAGAAATGCCTTTACCAATTTTTATTTTGGAAAAGTACGAACAGGTTAATTGTGGATTTTCGAATTCCATTGCAGATCTATAAATATTTAAAATGTCAAAGACCCCTATTCTATATATCAATGTCCGCTCGTAAATTAACATTAATTCTGAACTGGCACTACCCCAATCATGCTTTAGGCCTAAAAATTTTGAACAAAATATTTCTCCCTAAAAAATCGGAACAAATGACATTTCAACGCTATTAGGTGTCACATGTGTTAAAAAAATAAATAAATACTTGAGCATTGGGAGAAACCTCCAAATTCTCGATAAATGCTTAGCCAAACGTTCCATTGGGGGAAACACCTACAGGCTACAATAGTTGTGTTACTAGTAGTGTAGGGTATAGTGTTTGTTGTTTCTATCTTTTGTTTAATGAATTTTTATTTATTTTTTCTACCGAAAAGAAACAGAGTCATCATGGGTTGGGCTTGGGCTGAACCTTGGGCAGTTATATATAATGTTACATAGTAACCATATAATAATAAACACACATGAAGGTCGGGCCATAAATGATTATTCCTAGTAGTAACTAGTTAAAATATTTTATATTAATTTGTGTCTTTATAATTCAAAAGTTGTTGCTTTTAGAAGTAAAATAAAAAATGCTTTTTTGCTTATTCTCATTTATTTATTAGGTGTTGAAAGGACACAATTTCGCATTACCTTACTATTTCTTGGGATTAAGTAGACAAAATTTTTTCTCACACAATTAGTGAAAAACAAAGAAAGAAAAGAAAGAAAGGAATAAGAAATTTCATGAAATGACGAGACTGACAGATAGGATATTCCTACTATAGTTAGAAAAAATCTACACAAGCATAATGCCAGCGAATTGGCAAAATCTGCTGGATTGGACATGTTTCTCTTTGGATGTAGTCATGACGATGTAGGATCCACACAAGTTCCTTTTTTTTGTCCTGAATAAGGTAAGGTTGTCCACTTGTACAGTTTGTGAGTTTCAGGTATGGTACTTTTCTTTTTGTTAAGTGAATTTGAGGTATGGGCCGTATGGCATGGTTTAAAGCATGGCTTTTAAAACCGACCCGGAGATCGAACCGGTCAGGGGTCCGGTTATTAGGTCAAACGGTTCGACCGTTTGAACCGAATGATTGGCCCATTCAGACAAAAAGATAAAAAAATAAAAAATGGTTTTTTAAGAAATTCCGGTTTTGGGGAAAACCGAAATCGGTCACCTGACCGGAATCTATCCTGTAGGGTCAGGTTTCAAGTTTTTGGAATCGGAATCTATCCTGTAAAGGTTGGTTCCAAAGGTCAGTTCTGGTCTTTGTAGTTTTGGAGCCGATTCTAGGGTTTTCCCGTGGATCCTATTATTTCTATACTCTCTCCCTTGAAGAAAGAAAATATGAAATATGTCCTTCAAAAACTTGATTTTCAATAATGACAATATATAATTTAATTTATCTTTATTGATTAAATTGAGTAATTTAATTTACGTTATCATAATATATTAATATATGGTTGAAATTTTGTCATTATGATTTAAATTTTATAAATATTAACTTTTACATTACTTTATTATATACATACAAATATTAAAATGAAAACAAATTATCAAATCACTTAAGTAGCTCGATGGTCAAGTGAGACCATGGCTTTTGTAATCATGAGTGCTTGAGCTCAAACCTTCACGTCCTTAAAAATATTTTGGGGTTTATTTCAAGGCAAGTTCGATTCCAAGGTAAACCAAGGCCGGTTTGGATGGGGTAAACCCCTAGACCTTAGAACCAACCTTGGTGGGGTCTCGGTTCCAATAATTAAGAACAAGACCCTACCCTGTAATAGATCAGGTAAGATCGGTTCAAGGCCGGTTTGAAGTCAATTCCATTCAGCTATAGGTAAAACCTACTTATTTACTCACCTCTAGTTTAAAGTATCGATACACCCAATAAACACGAATTAATCTATATATGAGGTGTTTCTAATGATGATAATTTTATTTTTTAGTTTTTCTTTTTAAATTGGTCAGGGTCAGTGTCAGGCTTGTCTATCTGTCAAAGGCGAAACCCTAAAAGGCCCTTATAGAGTATCGGTGGATCTTAGGGTAGAGAGTTGGACTATTTTATGCTTTTCATAGCCCAGTCAGCCCATCCACACCCCTAAAACAATGAAAAGAGTTCCCTCTAATTAAGTAGTAAGCAGATTTCTATTACAAAATAAATGTGCTTTGTAACATGAATCCCCACAGATGAGTCACTATGCCAAGTGGCTAGCCACCTTGCAGATTGGGGGTGTTGACCACTTGACCTGAAAGATCAGGTATCATATTATCCCTACCCTAATTTTCAGGACAATCCACCCCTTCTGTCACAGCCACGTGTTCCACGATGACTTCTGATTGTTGAAATTTTTACAGAAGACATCACCCCTTTCCGGTATGATGTCTTTCCGACATCATAGATTTTTCCTCTACAAAAACAATGTTACCCCATTTTGGATGATGTGGGCTTAAATTCTACAGGTGGCCTATTTAGAGAATAAGTGAAATTACATTAATGCCCTACAGCACAATCCAACCGTGTATTGGGAACATCTCCCAATAACAAATACGGAAGATGTTCTGAATGCACGGTGAGATGTGCGTGGAGCGTGCTTTATGGGTCCCGATGCAAATTCAGAATAAGCAGTAATATATTGATCGGTTCTGATATGTCACCAGGCAAGGAATTTGGTAATGTCAAGTAACGTAGGGCTGTAATCGGGTTTGATTTGAATCAGAACCCCTTTTTTTTTCGTTCGAATTCAGTTCGATTAACGAAATGTTAAGTTTAAAATCAGATTTGGATGTAATCCAATCCGAGTCCAACTTCTCTTGCCCAAAATGAAAAAAAGTTAATTTTTTAAAAAAACTATTTATTTTTTAATTATATATAAATATAAAATATTCAATTTACTAATTGTAAGTTTTAATTAGACTTGGATTTTAATTGGATAGGATGGGATTAAATCCATATTAGATCCAATTATTAAGTAATGCAAATTGTAACATTCAAATTTGGAATAATTAGATTAAGGCCCCGTTCGTTTTTCGATAAGTTATTTATCCGGGTAAATGCAGTTATCTGGGTAAATTTTTACTGGGAAACACTTACCTAGGTAAGTGCATTTACCCATATTTTTTTATTTCTCAAGTAAATAAGGCAATGACCATTTTAGCCATAAAAATCCATTATTAAAAAGGGTATTTTTGTCCCATTCAAGTGTTGACAACTTTCCTCCTAGGT